TTTGATGGGAAAACAAGTCGCTTGTGCCGATAAACAAGCTTGAAAATCTTTGCTGTGAATTCATCGACGTTTTCTAAGAGTTTATGTTTTTCAAAATACAAGGTCTTTAATCAAAAATAACGTATACTTATTGTCGTCGGATTAACACCAAATTTTCACAGCTTTAAGGTGACAATGCGAGGAACTTGAATGTGTCCAGACAAACTATTTCATGGATTATTTACCAATGTGTTGTGGTTTGAGTTGGGGGCAATGCGACTAAAACAGAAATTAAAATTCAGGACACTACTTTTTAAAACGCGTTGCTTGAATCAAACTGACCAGACACATTCAATTTACCAGACTATTGAACAACTAGGAAAAGTGGAAAAAAACTTCTAATCACCAGCATAAATGCGTAATTATTTTTTTTACAAAAAAAGTAATTTTTTACTTTTGATTAAGTAACGCACCGTAGAATGCAGATACGGACATGGCAAACACACCTTTGAAAAGCTTGGAGTCTGGCGATTCCAAAAATATATACTTTCCTGGGTCTATCTGTGGTCATTTGGTCACAATTAGAATATGAAAACAAGTATGCAAATAATAGTCCCGCTACCTTAATTGGTACGTACTGATTAATAGTGTCATACTCTCGCGGTATTTAGCGTTTGAATTAGTCATACAGCATAGTTTTCTCTGGCAATTCTTGATACACCGCCGAGACGCTGACACCATGGTCAATGGTATATAAGGTCTATGACTGATTGTTTAAAAATCTTCGGAAGGTTTTATGTAAATATTTTCAACCCAAATGCCAAATCATAATTTTACCAAATCGTATTTAGAATAGTCGCAATCACAAACGAAAAAGCTATAATGAATGTGTTTTGTGGATATGTTAATATTCGCAAATGACCGTCGAAATCTCTTCGAGAGCCAGAGAGCCAAATAGTGTTTCGTTTTCTCCATCATCGCGACCGCTGTTTCAAATATATGTTTTAAAAATCAGTGGGCGCAAAAAACAGTATTTGGGGAAATAAGTCGCGTGGCTCTCGGCGAGGTCTCGGCGGCCATTTGCGTATGTGGTCGATAGATAAATATCCATTCACTGCGAGATCTCGCGAATTTCGTGAAAGGCGCGGACTAAACGTCTGCCGTAAAATCTAATGATTTGATTTTGATTACTTGTTGTTTTTATAACTCATTGTCAAAATTCCGATATATAGAAATACCTTTATTTTATCAAAATCGACCATCATCAAAATGTGTATAACGAATACGGGTGGAAATATCCTCAAACTGCTTTCGCGGTTATCGAATCCCAGGCGATGTTTTGACGCACTATGACGCTATGACCTTTGTTTGTTCTGTTTGACGTTCGATTTCACGAATAACGCGGAATCTCGCAGTGAACGCAACATAGTCTATTGCGCACAGTGTATAATATGATGAGACAAAGACACAATGAAAACAAAACGTACGGTAATCCTCATATTGGTGACAGCCCTCTTCGTGGCAAGAATAGTAGCAACGCAGGGCGACGTTATTGTAATCGACACATATGCCATCTGGGCCATAGTAGATGTCACTGCTGTAACGCTTCATGTAGTTGTACAGTTGGTTATCGCCAAAAGCTAATCAAGAAAACAATCAACAAATCGATTTTGTGTTTGTTTATCAATATCAGGATATCTTACATTGAAATAACAGGGTCTAACACAAGAAACACAGCTGAAATCAGAATATATATATTTGCCTAGATACATGTATTCTGAAAGCATGAATAATGCAAAATGTTATATTGTTTGCACGTAAAGTAAAGTAAACTAAAATTGCATTTGTATTAGACATACTTTACTAAAATTCTTCGACGAGTTCTGATTACCGTGTACTGTAAAATACTAGTAATTTATTTTAGCTGGAATCAATTTTCGCTAAAAAGGCCTTTTGGGTCACGGTGTTTTGTATGGAATTTACTTTCTCTGAATTTTTGATGTGTTGAATGTGAAATATAGGAAAAAGTTATATTCTATTTTCACTCCTTCAGCAAAAATAGCGAAATGAATTCAAAACGGAAATAAATTATTTTACAGAATTTAAGTTTTGTTTTGAAGCGGAGGGGTCGTCACCTGTGCGTGCGCGGGAATTGAGTCCTATGTGACGATAACAACACTTGCTAAAAACCGCAAAGCCTCATGGGTAGACGCTTGTTTGTAAACAATGACACGCTATGGCCATTTGCAACAGGCGGAGATGACGACTCCCCCGCTTCAACTTACTAGATATCTTGTCCGCGTACGGTGCCATAGTTTCGAATGTGCAGTATCTACTTCCGGTAACGCTGGGTAATAACAGATTGAGATTGTTTTCAACGTCGTAGCAATTGTCATCTTCGGCAGAATCACAATAATAACACCACATATAATCTGTTGACATAATTGAATTACACACGATGGTTCCTCTGATAATAAATACGGGGCGGGACATCTAAATGTCACATATCCGGGTATTTACAGATGTATATTAGTAATATAAGAACAGTGGTCGCAGCATTCTGCTTCAAATAATTTAAATATTTAATTAACTATAATTGATCAATAAGATCATTCGCGAGTATTAAAACGGATATTGAGATTTCGGTAATTTTCACACTGTGGTTTTATGTCATGCTGTTATTCACATAACTCACATAAAACGTATGGTCACGGAACTACTTTTTGCGAAAAAAATGGTTAAAAAAACAAGAAAACGAAGATGTTTGAACCATTCACATTGGATCTCGATATATCTATACAAATATCGTACGATGACATAAAATGAAAAAAATAGTATATTGTCATAAGACAGGTAATTCTGATTGTCACGATTTTTTTTTTATTATGGCATACGATTTTGTCCAGTACAAAGATTTGTACACTCAAAAGACTATGGCAACTGGAACTATCTTTATGGGTAGTAATCTGTCTTCGAAAACAACAGCCAGATATATTTAAAGCGTGGTGGTCGTCGCGCAGCGCGTGCTCGAATTTCGTGTAAATAAACAATGTATTTTACACGAGTTGTATACGTCGCTATGAGTCCCATATCGAACAGGACGCGACGCGACGACCACCGCCCTTTAATATATAAAATCTACTATAAGAAACAAGGGCAGTACCTGAAACACCCAGTGTGCCTAAAACAAGTAAAATCAGATTAGTTCGTCTCCTAATTTATCCCATCCGAGATATACCCCATAGTAAGCTAGAAAGGTTTAAATAAAGGATGTGTATGTACTTCCGGATCCGGTTATGGAGGTTTTCCGGATCCGGTTATGGAGGTTTCTGTTTGTACCTGAATCGTCCGCATTACATGTATCGACGTCACATGTACATGTGTACACCAGGTCTACGCCATCAACTACATATCTACACGTGTTTGTCCATTCATAGTTGTATGCCGAGTCGCAACCACGCGATATCTGCTGACCACCTAATCAGAAAAAAAAATAACCAAAAATAGATTTGTTTTATTTGACAGGGTATGTGCTGCATTATGGCGAAACATGCATTGTGGGTAAAATGAGTCCGTCATAAAAACAACTTTTAAATCGTCTAATAATAGTTGGTCTTTAGAAACGCTGTGAGAGGATATGGTAAAACTAATTATTAAATTATTTGTTTTCTCCGCTTTTTAGCTAATTTTCACGTTGCTATATCCTTCATCAAATGTATGTGGTGTTATTTGTTTTAAACAAATATCTGTTTTTCTAAATTCCTCTGTAATACACCAGCACCCCAAATCCGCGGTCTAATGGCCAATCACATTCGATATACGGTTTCAGACAGATTATTGAAAGACATTTTTACGTCTGACTTTTTTACATCACAAATGACATTTTTCTGAAATAATTAGTTAGTGTAGGTTTTTACGATTTATATAAAAATGGTCGACACGATAAAACATTTGCAGTATTATTACTCCTCTCAACATTTCTTCCCAAAAAAAATTCTGCATTTGAAAACCAGAAGTCTCGCGGGGTCAAAGTGCATTATGGGATATACTAAGGTCACAGAAAATGTATACTTACCAAGACTGTTGTGCCAGCCTTTCGTGTAGCATTTATTGTAGCACGGGATAGTCGATACGGCGTTTGGATTGGTCAGACAATTGCTGTCCGATGCCTGACGTCCGACGATATAAAAACAGCTTTGACATGTGATAGCTTTCACAGTTATGCAGACTAGAAAGCAAAATATGGCGATTAGTTGTCGTCACGGTGTATGCAACAATGTGGCGATGGTAGCGTGTCATTGTCATCACAACTTCATTAATACCCAGTTATATAAAGTAAACCTCCATCTCGCTAATTGCAATAATTGTATTTATCTGGCAGACTGTTTATACTGTTAAGGTAAAGGGGTTTGTTTGCCCAGTTGTACGAGTCCCCCCTTTTTGTGTGCCACGTCATCATTAATTGTGTAGTACGGTTTTCATGACGTCATAAGGTGCACGACTGAACAGCGCGAAAATGTATTCTTTTGGTTATGTACTGCAATCAAATACAGTATTTAACGCGAGGGAGTCGTCACCTGCGCATGCGTTGGATGGCCATAGCGTGTCATTGTCACAAGCGTCTACCCATGAGCATTTTTAGCGTGTGTTGTTATCGTCGGTTGGGACTCAATTCCCGCGCGTGCGCAGGTGACGACCCTTCCGCTTTAACATCAGACAAACGTCGGTTGCCATAGCAATCACAATTTCCACCATCGAATTTAAAGCCATTTCCGTGACGTCATATGTTATTTACGATTTCCTAACAATGTATTCGAAGAGAATATATCTCTTGGCGTCTACCTACCGTCTTGCTGGTCGTTGCAGGCTGACGTGTCGCACGAATGATAGCAATGTAACGACGCCAGGTGAAAATCTATGAATATGCCTTCCTTCCCGTAGTCGGTGTCAGCGCAATAACGCCTGACGTAGTCATATATATCTAGTCCACTGTACTCTGAAATGTTTGAGAAAAATGTTAAATAACGTCTTGTGATAAATGAAAAAATACACTACGTAAGTACATACATGGAAGGTAGTACCTTCCATGGTTCAACTAAACAAATCACGGGACTTCTGTGTAGTCAAAGTCGCGCGCCCTCTACAGGCGAGGGTGGGTGTGTCGTTTGCCGAAGGGGCCTGGTAATCTGTATATTGTCATGCAGTACTAGTTTCACAATTTAATCACGAGTTTCTTTGCATTCTCTAGGGAACGTACTCTGATTGACACCAACCTCTGTGTACCTTTTCCCTGAGAAAGGTATGCATGAGTGTTATCAGACAAAACAAAACAAGTTTCAAATATGAACGTCCCCTCACTAGCTGTCACGGCACTCCGCTCATGGCATTCAAAGGGCGGCAGTCGTCGTGCCGCGTCCTGTTCGATATGGGACTCATAGCGACGTATACAACGCGTGTAAAATACATTGTTTATTTACATGAAATTCGAACATGCGCTGCGCGACGACCACCGCGCTTTAACATAAACCTTGGACTAATGTTAATCAACTACAAGTCGCCGAATCAATTCTTCTTACGATCAAATAGATAAATCTGGTTATGCAGTTTTTCGCCATTTAAAACATAGCAAACTCATTAAGAAACTTCAACGGACTACCTCACATCAACCTTGTGAACGGCGCTCCTTGCGATGATTTACGTCACATAAGTTCTCCGTCGCTAGAGGGCGCGACTATATCGCGGAATGTGAGAGGAAAGGTGCTGCTACTTACGAGCAGCGGTTTCTGGATACGGTTCCATGGTCTCCATAATGCACTTCGTGTGACCGGTCAAACACGCTACAGGTAGATTCGTATTGAGATTGGCATAGCAATCATCGTCTTCTCTTGAATCACATTGGTAGCATCTAAAATGCCCTGCGTTCGAAGTTCAAAACAGAATTTTTCACATATAATCGGTAGCTTGAGTATAATGATGCATCGTAGTAAAGTAAAAACGTTGCTTTGGTTACTCGCAGAACAAGCATTCGTTAAATGGTACAATGAACTGTGTAATTGTACATTATAGTTACGTACTACTAATCAAACGAGCATGCGTAATTCAGTAGTTTTTTTTTTATGCAAATTATCAGTATTATATAAGTCAAAATTTAGGTCGTATATCAACACGGTATCGAAACAAAAATGATAATAAAATATAATATGATGTTATTACGAGAATACCTCAAAGTATGCAGCGCAGTGCGGCGTACTGTCTGAGAGCATACTTTGAGCTATTCTCGTAATAACCTTATCATTATACATCTTTTCCTTCCAAGGACACGCCATGGGAATGCCGAAATCCAAAATGTTTAGAACAGAATCAACGAACTTCTTCAAACCCTGGTGGCAGCCATGTTTGTTTTTATGATTATTATAGGACGCCTACGCGCGTAAACATTCCATATTTGGAATTCGCATTTCCTTATATGGTGGGATGAAAATACCCCGTAAAATACCGCAAAATTACGGTACGCTGTAACTTATGGCGTTACGGTGACAGATGTATAATAATATCTGGAATGAAATATACAGCCTTACCTGTATCGTCGGAATTACAATTATCTTGGGTGTCACATGTACAGACATATCCGCCATAAACAACACCAAACTGAGAATATGCACAATCGTTTGTCCAGCTGAATTCCAGGTCAATATCACAGCCTCTGCTGACACGCAGATTGTTCCCTATCGAGGACAAAAAACATTACCGCTATATAGCCGTTATCGTGTGACTTTCGTTAGTTACCACGTGACGTGCCACGCGTGCGCGAAGATACAAACCAAAACTGCGGACAACCTTCTCTCTCATTCTCTCTCTCTCTTTCTTTCAAGTTATCCCTCTCTCTATATATATATATATCTTTTTCCGTATATACTTATATATCTGTCTATATTGACACAATACGTATATATCCCATGATATTGTACGATTTGGGGACACACATAAGGTATAGTCCCGAATCACTGGTAGCTTCAGTGAGATAGAGTTCTTCATATCGTTGCCTAAACAATGGAGAGAAGCCGACTGTTCAGGCATGATTGATGGGCTCGCTGGGGCGCTATTCGAATAAATTATGAGATGGTTGGCACCTTGACGAACTTCCGCCCCCTCCCTCCATCCCACCACATCGCAACGTGTTGACGTCATTAACTAAATAAACATACAATAAACGTACATGGATCATTGCATCTGTGGTCACGGGATTCACCATTTGAAGAGAAGTCAACATAAATGTATATTCTTTTAAACAAGTTTTTCACCACCCCCTCCCAACACACATACACACCCGCGCAGCAGGGATTCTTCATAATAGGCCATATTTCCATTCACTGCGAGATCCCGCGTTGTGCGTGAAATCCAACGTAAAGTCGGGACAAACAACGGTCACAGCGTCGTAGTGACGATAAACACCTTGTGAGATTAGACAAACGCGATCGTATTTTGGGAGATATTTCACCGCTGTACACATTTGATAATGGTCAATTTCGATGAAATAAAGGTATCTAAACTTAATATTCTCCTGACAAAGATCGGTCTTCGAATTTGAGCTATAAAAAAGGAAATTCGAGTTCGAATCAAATCGTTCGATTTTTGCGGCAGACGTTCGGTCCGCGTCTTTTACGCAATACTCGAGTTCTCGCAGTTGAACGGAAAATCACCTATTACATGTATTTAAACAAACACAAAACAGTGAAAAGGCAGTGACGATCATGATTGAAATGAACATCTCCATTCGAAACATAAAAAAAAATTAAAAAAAAAACATGTGCAGCAATACGCTCTAGAACATAATGACAATATTTCAAGAACATGATGACAATATTTATATACAAATTTTAAGGGCACGCATTTTTAATTGATTGACTGCCCGTGTTATTACAAAGACATTATTGTCTTTGGTTATTATGATTCCAACGAACGCATCGAGGTTCTTAACTTACCGTAGTAGGCGGCTGCTGTGTAACACTTTGTCGTACAGTTTGAAATAAGCGAAACTGACCCTGGATCTGTCAGACATGTTCGGTTTAGTGAATAGGAAAGACCTTCGTCGTATTCGCATGTGGTGCAGGTAAAAGTATCGTTTTGTCCAGCCACTATTAAAACACACACTAGAAAAAAAACATAGATATATAAAGACATTTTCATTATACGAATAAATCTGCTTAATGTTTTCCGATTTTTTCTAAAAATGAAGCAAATAGAAATATATCCATTCCACCAGAATTATCAAAGAAATTAGAGAAAAGATACAAAACAATATGAAAAATTGTGGCGGGAACGTTCATGTCGTTCAACTACTTGAATACCGTTTAGTGATATTCTGTTTCATAATGTTCGTGGAGGAGAAGATTTTTCAAGAAATATATCTGGAAAGTTTGAGGCAGAGATTGTATCTCAAATAATAACGATGTTCGGCAGCTCTGATGCGGCAATTATCGTTTGATGAAACAAGTTATTTGCGACCAGGTGCGAAACGGTGTTGTTACGAAATGCATGTAGCGTTGTTATGCGTAGTCAACGTTCTACTATAGACACATTGTGCGCATCAAAACTATCTACGTAAACAACGCTATGACTGACACAATACAACAACACTCTTCAAAGAACCAGGGTACTAATAAGAACAGTTTACAGACACGAGAGGTCAAACTTGCAAGGTGCTTTCAATTCATGACAATGTTTTTGTTTTTGCTTTGTTTACCGGCTTCATCTCAAATTTAAACGCGAATAATGACAGGGACGATTATGCTATACGATAATGCAGTATATCGAACAAGCTGGAACGTGGAAGACTTTTGTTAGAAAAATCGTCTCCTACATGTTGATTTCCGTGGTTGACCAACTTCTGTGTTTTGCATATAGTCACACACCCTTTCAGCCATAGCACGAAGCGTTACTGAAGCGTAGCAATATTCGTCTCCACGTTGAACTGTTACATACGTGGCATTACTTTTTGTGTTTACCCTCCATTCCAACCACATGCAACCGGCACAACTAGGCATAAGCAAAGTTTGGCTGCGCTCTTGGTCCCCCCCCCCCCCGAGGCGATGTGTTGTTACTGCTTGATGTTATATCAAATCAAGACGACAAACAAGAGTGGGTACTGTTCGGTTCGTTGACTTTGCTATGGTGAACCATTCGTTTGCCGTTATAAGTTGAATGAGTAGAATGGATTATAGCTTCTTTATTGTCTGTTAACTGTGTTCTACAGGTATTGTCCTCTGGTAGAGGGTGGATCGGCGCAACCGTCTTCGTTTTACTTTACGTTACGCCAGTCGTTGTGGAGTCTGAAAATTTACTTAATTTCGTGAGAATTTTTTTTTTTTTTTAAATCGTTCAATGAGTTTGTTTTGCTGCCGATTACGCAAAGTCACCGTGACGTTCTCATTGGTCGGTCAATACCACGTAGAGCAAGTTCAACTTCATTCGGCGGTTCGTAAGCTACGACCGGCGTTTATTCAATTTGACATTTGATATTGAAATAA